TGGTCATCACATTCTTGTAACTGTCGCCACTTTCGGGCCCTCGCGCTGCCAGAACGCCATTTCCAGGCCACATGTGTGAGCGAATTGCAAGAAAATCTGAAGCGGGAGCCCCCTCCCTATGGGGCCCGCGGATCATGTTATTAATCCGAGCTGGTCATCAAATTCTTCTAACCGTCGCCACTTTCGGGCTCTCGCGCTGGCAGAACGCCATTTCCAGGCCACATTTTGAATTCCCGGATCCAACTGTAGGCCACTTCGTGTTCTTCGTGCTCCCAGAACACAACTCCCGGGCCACACTTTGAATGCCCGGAGCCAACTGTAGGCCACTTCGTGTTCTTCGTGTTCCCAGAACACCACTCCCGGGCCACTTTCTGAATGTCCGGAGCCAAAACAGGAGGGCGAGGTCGGGGGCAACGTGGGGAGCGGGGGGAGGGCCCGCGCCAGGGCGAGAAGAAATATACGCAGAAGAGACAGCCAGGACGCCTCACCAACCACGAGGACGACGGTGAGGGCTTCTTCCAGATTCGCCCAGAGGATTCTGATGTGGGGTCCTTCCGTCGGAGTAATTTCGTATTTAATAGAGAATAATTCTGCCGGCCCCGTTCAAGTCAAAACCGGGGGGTTAACCCACCAAAAGAGAACCTTGGGCCCGCGCCCTTTCCGGGAAAACACAACCTTGGTATTAGAAAGTGGTGCAGCACCCTCTGCTAGCCAAGGCCTCTCCCAAATGCATCAAAGCTATTGGACGTGCCCCTTTGTGGTGCAGCACCCACTGCTAGACAAGGCCCCTTTTCCCAAGTTGATTAAGCAATCTTGCGTGGTGTCAGGCACCCCCATTGAGGCGCAGCATCCTCTGCTGGGCAAGACCCCTCCCCAAGTTGTTAAAAAGTACAGGATCCTTGGTGTTAGACGTGCCCCTTTGTGGTGCAGTTTCCTCTGCTAGGCAAGGCCCCTCCCCAAGTTGATTAAAACACACCCGTGGTGTTAGGCATCCCCCATTGTGGTGCATGTCCGAAACCACTGATGGTGTTCAATCAACTTGGGAAGGGGCATTGCCTAGCAGTGGGTGCTGCACCACAAACGTGCACGTCTAACACCAAGGATGTCGTTTAAACGCAACCTGTGGAGAGGTCTTGCCTCGCAGAGGGTGCTTCATCACAAAGTGGCACGGCTAGCACAAATGACGCGTGTTTACTCAGCGTGGGGAGGGGCCTTGGCTAACAGAGGGTGCTGCACCACAAGCGGGCATGACTAACGCCAAGGGCCTCTTTTGTTTAACTTGAGGAGGGGCCTTGCCTAGCAGAGGGTGCTGCACCACAAACGGGCACTTGTGACACCAATCGCCTAGCAGAGGATGCGGCACAGTGGAGGATGCCTAGCACCAATGATTTCTTTTAAAGAAGTTTGGGAGGGACCTTCTCTAGCAGAGGGTGCCGCACCACAAAGTGGCACGTCCAACACCCAGGTTTTTTTGCCAGAATCAATTTGGAGAGAGTCTTGCCTAGCAGAGATTGCTGCACCGCGGAAGAGCATGCCAAGCACCAAGGATGCGTTTTAAACCAATCTGGGGAGGGCCTCGCCTAGCAGACGGTGCGGCACCACAAAGGGGCATGCTTAACACCAATGATGTTGTTCAAACAAGTTTGGGAGAGGCCTTGTCTAGCAGAGGGTGCCGCACCGCAAAGTGACACGTCCAACACCAAGGTTGCTCTTTCAGAGTCAACGTTGGGAGGGCCTTGCCTAACAGGGGGTGCTGTTCCACGGAAGGGCATGACTAACACCAAAGGTGCGTGTTTACTCAGCGTGGGGAAAAGGGGCCTTGTCTAGCAGAGGGCATTGCATTAGAGAGGGGCATGCCTAGTACCAACGATTGTTTAGTTGATTGGGGTTGGGCCTTGCCTCGCAGCGGGTGCTGCACCACAATGGGGGATGCCTAGTACCAGTGGCTTTTGGTTAAACATCAACCTGGGTGTGGGACCTTGCCTGGCAGAGGTGGCTGCACCACAAATGGGCATGCCTAGCACTTCATCTGCTTTGGGAGGGCCTTGCGTAGCAGATGCGGCTGCATAGCAGGCACGGCACATCTACCACCAGACCACCAGACCACGTTCGCGCCCCCCCCCCCCCCCCCAGTTGCCCTGCACATTTCTCCTCCACCCAGAAGGGATGTTGCGAGGAAGGGTGAGGGTCATTTCTTTCGCCCACAAAGTGAATCATCACAGCGCCCCCTTTTGCGAGGAGGAGGGGGAGGAGGAGCAGGAGGAAGAGGAGGAGGAGGATGAGGAGGATGAGGAGGAGCAAGAGCTGGAAGGGGGCGAGGAGAAGGAGGAGCTGGACGAGCAGGAGGGTGGGAGAGGATCAGGAATATGATGAGGAGGAGGCAGATACATCCGATGTTTCTGATGTTTCTGGGTCGGTCCCAGATGCGAGGATCCGCAATCGGAGGACTCCGTTGTTAAGCCCCAACCTTCCGTAATCCAGCGCACAAGGAATCCGTGTGTAACCCTTCATAGAGGGAATCCTGTTAGACGCCGCCACAGAAGGAATGCCAATGTCGATCCCTTGTCTTTGCTCAAGACAGGAGGAAGACGATGAGGATAATGTTCCTCTCTTCCGTTTTCCTCCTGGTGGAAGGGAAAGGGGAAGAGAGGGTGGATGAGGATGTTCCGTCCCCCTCTCCCGCTTTCCTGCAGGAAGGAAGGGGATGAGGTGGAGGATCAGTCCCTCTCTTTCCCTCTGGAGGGAGGAGGAGGTTCCTTCAATTCCAGTTTCCACTAGGAAGGAGGAAGGTGATGCGGTGGAGATGGTTTGGCAATCCTCTCCCTAATTAGGGTGTCGGAGCAGCAGGTCCCTGCCCTGTCCTTTCCCTCGAAAAAGGAACAGGAAGTGGCAGTAGGTACCCTTCCTTCGTCCACAGGTGGGATGAGAAATATCAAGAGAGAGAGAAGGTTACGTTCCTTTTCCTGTGCTCTAGGCAGGAGGGCGATGAAGAGGAGAAGGTGGCTCCTCTCTTCTCCTCACTTCAGAAATGAGGAGGAGGCGGGGGAGGGAGCTTTCCCTCGGGAGGGAGGAGGAGGGCGGGGATGTGGAGGCTCAGTCCCTCCACTTTTCTTGAGAAGGAGGGGGGGGAGGTTCCTTCCCTTCCCATGTCCTTCAGGGAAGAGGGTGGTGTGGTTTCTATCCCTTTCCTTTACTTCGGGCAGGAGGTGGAGGCAGAGGGTTCCTCTTGTCCCTTTTCCTCCTGGTGGAAGCGTAAAAAGGTAGACAGGGAGGAGGATGACCAGGCCCCAGGGGTCCCAATACCCCCCCCTTGGGAGCATTGGGGGGGTCCCAGGGCTGCCAGGGCCCGCTCCAAAACATGCCACGACACGCCACGAGGGCCCCAGAGATTGTCAAGACAGCCCCAGGAGGCCCCGGACACGCCGAAGATGGCCTCAGGACGCCCGATGACGCCGCCAAAACGCCCCAAGAGCGCCTCCAGAGGCCCCTCCAAAGGGCCCCAGAAGCCCAGAATCATTCATTGTCGAGTGGTTTTTGAAGCATATTTGCACTCGCAGGTTCCGCCTCCCCACGGTCCCGGACGGCGTCAGAGGCCCTTCCGATCGCTCCAAGACGGCCGAAGAGGCCCCCAAGACCGCCCAAAGACCGCCCAACAGGCTCCCAAGACGGCTCCCAGACGGGCCACGACGGCCCCAAGACTGCCGAAGAGGCGCCCAGGACAGCTCCAGACCACACCAGAACAGGCCCAAGATGAGCCCAAGAGCGGGAGCAGGAGGCCTCCAGAGACCTCCGAGAGGACTCCGGGACCCCCCACAGGCCTCCAACACACCCCAGACCCTTGAGAGGCCCTCAAAAAAGCCTCGACGAGGCACCCTAACAGCTCCAGAGAGCTTCGAGAGCCGTCCCGAGAGAGCACGAAGAAGGTATAATCTTCGATTCCCAGTGGTTTTTGTCAATGTTTTTCGCCTTCTCACGTTTTCCCGCTTCCAACGCTCCAAGACCGACGAAGTTGAAAAAAAAAGAATTTGAGGGATTCCCTTTTTTTCCGGTTCACCAAATGCGCGCCCCCTCCTCCAGGGGGTCCCACACCTTCCTGGAACATCTGCGGAGCGCTCCCGGTACCGCGCTTCCCGACCTCCCCAGAACGTAAACGAGCGGCCCAAAGACGCTCCCAAGCAACCCAGGATAGCTTTCGGGCGGCTCTCCAGGCTCCCAGTAGGCCTCCAAAAGACATCAAGAGAGCTCCGAGAGGCCTCTGGAGAGCGCCCAGAGAACCTAAAATCGTTCATGTTTTTTGGCCTTCTCACCATTTCATGCTTCCAACGCTCCCACACGGCCAAAGAGGCCCCCAAGATCGCCCCAATCGCCCAATAGGCGACCGTGGCCTGCATCCAGGAAACGTCTAACCCACAGCCCAGGCACTACAATTTGAAAACAAGTGAAATCCCACCGTTCCGTGTTCTTCCAAGTTCGCCCCCTTGCCTATACTTGCACAACAGACCACAATGGAGGCCCCAGAAAAGAACCCTCAAAGCCTTCGAGGGCCCCAAATCGTTGAATACATAACGGCAAGTAATGATTGTTGCGGTTCTGCAGTTACACTTTCTTTACGATACCGAGGTTTGCGCAGGGCCTCGAAGAGAGACCTTGGATACAAGAAACGACAAGGAGGATATGCCATGTGTTCGCCCATCAAGCCTAGATAGAACTTGAGCGCGCGCGAAGCGCGCGCGATGGTGCTAGTATTTAAAAATCGATCTATGTATAGGTTTCTCTTGCGGGAGAGTCAGGTGATCAGTATGGGAGGCGATGCGATATTGAAAACTTGGCGAACGGGGGGCAGTGTTACACCTGTGATGTCAACAGATATGGCCACATTCGCCTGCAACGTAGCTGCAGCTCTCGTCCTCCCCTTTGACGCTGCATTGCCCCTGGGGGGGGGGAGGTTTCCTGACGAGCCTAACTCTCCATCGTCCTCTTCCTCCGATCCCACATGTGGTAGCCAATGTGGCTCTGGTGCAAAAGTTGGCCTCATCTGCAGATGTGTTGTTCCGTGCCCTGAGCCATTCCCCGAATAGCCCGAGCACCAGAAGCCTCTCACACTGTGTTCGAGCCTCGTGGCCATGTTTTCGGGGCGTCCTTCGGTTGCTCGGCGCCTGGCACCCTGCAGCGAGAAGGAGCCAGACTACTTGCTTGGATTTGTGCTCACGATCATTGCAGGGATGGCAACCTGCCTGGGTTCTGTGGCCATCCTTTTTGCCAAGATGGGTGGCAACCCCAAGAAAGTCACTTCTGCGGCCATGGGCTTTGCAGCTGGCGTGATGATGTGGGTCTCGTTCATTGACATCCTTGGGACAGAGGCGGTCCAGTTCTTCGAGCACCATTTTCATCCTCCAGACTGCGGCAGTGGAAGACGCCTCAGTGCGGGAGTGGGTGAGGGTGATGGTGGGGAGGGTGGTGAGACTATCTGCGTCAGGCTATGCGTTGCTGGCTTCTTCTTCGTGGGCGTACTCGCTGCGATTGGGCTCGACAAGTGCGTTGACGCGATGTTTTCCAATCAGGAGAACGTGGAGGAGGGAGACTCTGATTCAAGTGAGGCCTTGAATCATCACGACTCACAGAAGGTGTCCTCTCTTGAGCGGATCTCGTTTGTGACGTTCTTGGCGTTGACGATACACAACTTCCCCGAGGGTCTTGCAACTTTCTTTGGTGGAGGCACAGGGTCTTTCGCAGTGCCAGTGGCAATCGCAATGCACAACATCCCAGAGGGAATGGCCATTGCGGTCCCGTTCTATCAGTCAAGCGGGTCAGTTTGGGGAGCTGTAAAGAACACGTTCTGGGCCGGCCTCGCGCAGCCCATCGGGGCAGCTTTTGGCTGGTTCCTCATCGCTATCTGCAGGCTCGAAGGCCTACCACCGTTTGTGTATGGTGCTGTGTACGCCTCGACCGCGGGGGTGATGGTTTGCGTGTCCATCATGGAGTTGTTGCCCGAGGCGTTTGCAGGAGCGACACCCATATTCGTGTCTCTGTGGGTCTTTGCGGGGTTTGCGCTGATGGAGTGCTCGATCATCTGCCTGAATGCATCGGGGGCATGAGACTCGATGGGACTCCGGCACATGGACCTGGAGAGTGCCGAAATGATCCAATATTCGTCAAAGGAAGCGCTGAAGCCGAAGCGGTGGATGGAGCAGTCGCCGATTGCACACGCTGTCCAAGGTTGAACGAGGCATTCGCAAACGGCATCATTCAGTCTTACAAACACCGTCGGCAGTATGCGCAGGTCTCACAATGGTTGCCAGTGGTGATTGTCGGGGATACGCGCGGATCCCTCCAATGCCACCCCCATCGAAATTCGCCCCCCTCGACAGAGGCACGATCTTTCAGTCCATCGCGAGGAGTTGACCCATGCCGAAGTGCTTCATAAGGAAAGGTTAGTCCCCCCGGCCTGTTCGCCCAAAGCCGACACCCCCACCCTAGTCCAACCGCCTCTGCGCGGACGTTGGGGAGGGGGGGGGGGAGTGCGGGTGGGGAAGGCAGTGGGTGAAGGCGGTGGGGACGGTGAGGGGGAACAAGGGCCTCGCTGCTGCCGCATCCGGACGACAACACCACTGGCACGCGTAGATTTGATTGCAGCTCGGCCCCGCCCCTGCTGCCAAGGCGCTGTGGCGAGGCCGTGCCCTTCAGGAGGAGGAGGAGGAGGAGGAGGAGGAGGAGGAGGAGGAGGAGGAGGAGGAGGAGGAGGAGGAGGGGAGGAGGAGGAGGAGGAGGAGGAGGAGGAGGAGGGGGAGGAGGAGGAGGAGGAGGAGGAGAGGAGGAGGAGGAGGAGGAGGAGGAAGAGGAAGGGGGAGGAGGAGGAGGGAGGAGGGAGGGGAGGAGGAGGAGGACGACGGCCTCGCCCCTGCTGCCAAGGCGCTGTGGCGAGGCTGTGCCCGTGCGCCCGCGGCACACCCGCCGCCGTGCCGGCGAGGCCCGCGGTGTGCCGAGCCGTCGAGCACGGCCCGCGGGGCCGCCGCGGGCAGCACTTTGCCGCCGCCACTTCGCCGGGGGGGCGCCCCTCGAACGCTGCGTGCCCCCCCTCCTCCTCCTCCTCCTCTCCCTCCTTCTCCTCCTCCTCCTCCTCTCCTCCTCCTCCTCCTCCTCCCCCTCCTCCTCCTCCTCCTCCTCCTCCTCCTCCTCCTCCTCCTCCTCCTCCTCCTCCTCTGTTGGGGCTGGGGGCGGGCAGAGCTGAGGGGCCCCTGGGGCACAAGTCTAGGGGCGCAAATCGCAGGAGTCCCCCCATCGTTTCCCATGTGTTCTGTGTTCTGTGTGTTTTGTCTCCCCCCCACACTTCCCATAGTTTCCCACATGTTCTCGGGAATCGGCGATTGATTGTGTCTGTGTGCTGTTTCCCTCCTGAAGAACCCCCACCCTGGCACGTCGATTAGTGGATTGTCCGTTGTCGGCTCTCGAGAGGGCGCCGCGGCCGTCATCTTCAGGCTTGCGCCCGCCGGGTTCTGGCCCGAGGTCGTTTTCATTGAACCACGTTTAACTAAAAGGGGTTATGTCCATCCCCGATGGGGCCGTCTAGGGTTCAGTCGGGCCTGTCCCCCTACAGGGGGATTTTCGACGAACAATTTTTTAAAAATACACCCAAAATAGTCCAACATATGTTTGGGGCATTTTTTCCCAACCCTCCTGCGTTGGGTTCTCGTTTTGAATAGAGCACTGCTCGCGCGAACCTTCCTTCCTTCCTTCCCGTCCCTCTCTTCCCCCCTGCCTGCTGGGGGGCCCAGCACAGTGGGTACCCACCGCAGACTCAAATTAGACCTCGCCATCCCTGGGGGGCTGCGATCTGTGAAACTGTCGCCACTTTCGAGGCCTCCTGGGGGGCCCAGCACAGTGGGTACACACCGCAGATTCAAATTAGACCTCGCCATCCCTGGGGGCTGCGATCTGTGAAACTGTCGCCACTTTCGAGGGCTGCTGGGGGGCCCAGCACAGTGGGTACACCACACCGCAGACTCAAATTAGACCTCGCCATCCCTGGGGGGCTGCGATCTGTGAAACTGTCGCCACCTTCGAGGGCTGCTGGGGGGCCCAGCACAGTGGGTACACACCGCAGACTCAAATTAGACCTCGCCATCCCTGGGGGGCTGCGATCTGTGAAACTGTCGCCACTTTCGAGGCCTGCTGGGGGGCCCAGCACAGTGGCACCCGCGGCGGACTCAAATTAGACCTCGCCATCCCTGGGGGGCTGCGATCTGTGAAACTGTCGCCACTTTCGAGGCCTGCTGGGGGGCCCAGCACAGTGACGCCACGCGCGGACCCAAAATAGACCTCGCCATCCCTGGGGGGCTGCGATCTGTGAAACTGTCGCCACTTTCGAGGCCTGCTGGGGGGCCCAGCACAGTGACGCCACGGGCGGATTCAAATTAGACCTCGCCATCCCTGGGGGGCTGCGATCTGTGAAACTGTCGCCACTTTCGAGGCCTGCTGGGGGGCCCAGCACAGTGACGCCACGGGGATTCAAATTAGACCTCGCCATCCCTGGGGGGCTGCGATCTGTGAAACTGTCGCCACTTTCGAGGCTGCTGGGGGGCCCAGCGGAGTGACGCCCTACGGGGATTCAATTAGACCTCGCCATCCCTGGGGGGCTGCGATCTGTGAAACTGTCGCCACTTTCGAGGCCTGCTGGGGGGCCCAGCGGAGTGACGCCCTACGGGGATTCAGATTAGACCTCGCCATCCCTGGGGGGCTGCGATCTGTGAAACTGTCGCCACTTTCGAGGCTGCTGGGGGGCCCAGCACAGTGGCCCTACCGCAGATTCAAATTAGACCTCGCCATCCCTGGGGGGCTGCGATCTGTGAAACTGTCGCCACTTTCGAGGCCTGCTGGGGGGCCCAGCACCGTGGGTACCAACCGCAGACTCAAATTAGACCTCGCCATCCTTCGGGGGCTGCGATCTGTGAAACTGTCGCCACTTTCGAGGCCTGCTGGGGGGCCCAGCACAGTGGGTACCCACCGGACCCTCGCCATCCCTGGGGGGCTGCGATCTGTGAAACTGTCGCCACTTTCGAGGGCTGCTGGGGGGGCCAGCACAGTGGGTACCCACCGGAGTAAATTAGACCTCGCCATCCCTGGGGGGCTGCGATCCGTGAAACTGTCGCCACTTTCGAGGCCTGCTGGGGGGCCCAGCACAGTGGGTACCCACCGCGGACTCAAATTAGACCTCGCCATCCCTGGGGGGCTGCGATCTGTGAAACTGTCGCCACTTTCGAGGCCTGCTGGGGGGCCCAGCACAGTGGGTACCCACGCGGACTCAAATTAGACCTCGCCATCCCTGGGGGGCTGCGATCTGTGAAACTGTCGCCACTTTCGAGGCCTGCTGGGGGGCCCAGCACAGTGGGTACCCACCGCAGACTCAAACTAGACCTCGCCATCACTGGGGGGCTGCGATCTGTGAAACTGTCGCCACTTTCGAGGGCTGCTGAGGGGCACAGCACAGTGGGTACCCACCGCAGACTCAAATTAGACGCCGCTTTCGTCCTTGTTCTCCTACTGCAGTCACCTTCCCTCTGCTGCTGCCGTGGTGATGGTTCGGCTTCCCGAACGTTTTTCTCCTGCTCTGCGTTCCCGACTCCCCATGTCCTCTTCGAGCCTGTAGCTGTCGCCCCTCGTCCTTGTATGGTTATCCTGCGCAGCATGCCATGCGCGTGTCCCAAGTAGCGTACACATCAAGTTGATTGTCCATGCAAGTTTCGGCCAACTCCTCGTTTCCATTGATACAAATGGGTTGGGTACGTCACAGGGTGATTTATTTTTCGTCGAAACTCACCCTGTAGGGGGACAGGCCCGACTTAAGCCTAGGGGCTGCCTTGGGGCCCTCTTGGGGCTCCTTGGGCCCTCTTGGCCATCTGGGGGGTCTCTTGCGAAGGTCGTGGGGCCATCTTTGATCAAGCTGCAGGCCCTGTGGGCCAGCTTGGGGCCATCTCAGGGCCGAGACATCTCCGCCTCCGCCTCCGCCTCCTCCATCTCCTCCTCCTCCTCCTCCTCCTCCTCCTCCTCCTCCTCCTGCTTGCTTGCCTCCAGCACCCTATGGGGGCACGAAGCGTGTGAGGGTTGCGCCGAAATCGGAATGGAACTGCATGCCAACCCTGCCACTGGGGCCTTCGGCAGAGCGCCCTGTGGGGTCACGTCACGTGTGAGGGTTGCGCCGAAATCGGAGTGGAACTGCACGCCATTCTGCCACTGGGGCCTTCGGCAGAGCGCCCTGTGGGGTCACGTCACGTGTGAGGGTTGCGCCGAAATCGGAACGGAACTGCATGCCAACTCTGCCACTGGGGCCTTCGGCAGAGCGCCCTATGGGGCCACGTCGCGTGTGAGGGTTGCGTCGAAATCGGAACGGAACTGCATGCCAACCTTGCCACCCCTTCGGCAGAGCGCCCTATGGGGTCACGTCACGTGTGAGGGTTGCGCCAAACTAGGAATGGAACTGCATGCCAACCCTGCCACTGGGGCCTTCGGCAGAGCGCCCTGTGGGATCACGTCACGTGTGAGGGTTGCGCCGAAATCGGAATGGAACTGCATGCCAACCCTGCCACTGGGGCCTTCGGCAGAGCGCCTGTGGGGTCACTCACGTGTGAGGGTTGCGCTGGAATCGAAGTGGAAGTGCATGCCAAACCTGCCACTGGGCCTTCGGCAGAGCGCCCTGTGGGGCCACGAAACGTGTGAGGGTTGCGCCGAAATCGGAATGGAACTGCATGCCAACCCTGCCACTGGGGCCTTCGGCAGAGCGCCATGTGGGGTCACGTCACGTGTGAGGGTTGCGCTGGGATCGAAGTGGAGCTGCATGCCAGAGACCTGCCACTGGGGCCCTCGGCAGAGCGCCCTGTGGGGCCACGAAGCGTGTGAGGGTTGCGTCGAAATCGGAACGGAACTGCATGCCAACCTTGCCACTGGAGCCTTCGGCAGAGCGCCGTGTGGGGTCACGTCACCTGTGAGGGTTGCGCCGAAATCGGAATGGAACTGCATGCCAACCCTGCCACTGGGGCCTTCGGCAGAGCGCCATGTGGGGTCACGTCACGTGTGAGGGTTGCGCCGAAATCGGAACGGAACTGCATGCCAAGCTTGCCACTGGAGCTTTCGTTGGAGCACCCTGTGGGACCACGTCACGTGTGAGGGTTGCGCCGAAATCGGAATGGAACTGCATGCCAACCCTGCCACTGGGGCCTTCGGCAGAGCGCCCTGTGGGGTCACGTCACGTGTGAGGGTTGCGCCGAAATCGGAACGGAACTGCATGCCAACTCTGCCATTGGGGCCTTCGGCAGAGCGCCCTATGGGGCCACGTCGCGTGTGAGGGTTGCGCCGAAATCGGAACGGAACTGCATGCCAACCCTGCCACCCCTTCGGCAGAGCGCCCTATGGGGTCACGTCACTTGTGAGGGTTGCGCCGAAATAGGAATGGAACTGCATGCCAACCCTGCCACTGGGGCCTTCGGCAGAGCGCCCTGTGAAGCCACGAAACGTGTGAGGGTTGCGCCGAAATCGGAATGGAACTGCATGCAAACCCTGCCACTGGGGCCTTCGGCAGAGCGCCCTGTGGGGTCACGTCGCGTGTGAGGGTTGCGCTGGAATCGAAGTGGAGCTGCATGCCAGAGACCTGCCACTGGGGCCCTCGGCAGAGCGCCCTGTGGGGCCACGTCACGTGTGAGGGTTGCGCCGAAATCGGAATGGAACTGCATGCCAACCCTGCCACTGGGGCCTTCGGCAGAGCGCCCTGTGGGGTCACGTCAAGTGTGAGGGTTGCGCCGAAATCGGAATGGAACTGCACGCCATTCTGCCACTGGGGCTTTCGGCAGAGCGCCCTGTGGGGTCACGTCACGTGTGAGGGTTGCGCCGAAATCGGAATGGAACTGCATGCCAACTCTGCCACTGGGGCCTTCGGCAGAGCGCCCTATGGGGCCACGTCGCGTGTGAGGGTTGCGCCGAAATAGGAATGGAACTGCATGCCAACCCTGCCACCCCTTCGGCAGAGCGCTCCGTGGGGTCACGTCACGTGTGAGGGTTGCGCCAAAATAGGAATGGAACTGCATGCCAACCCTGCCACTGGGGCCTTCGGCAGAGCGCCCTGTGGGATCACGTCACGTGTGAGGGTTGCGCCGAAATCGGAATGGAACTGCATGCCAACCCTGCCACTGGGGCCTTCGGCAGAGTGCCCTGTGGGGTCACGTCACGTGTGAGGGTTGCGCCGAAATCGAAGTGGAAGTGCATGCCAACCCTGCCACTGGGGCCTTCGGCAGAGCGCCCTGTGGGATCACGTCACGTGTGAGGGTTGCGCCGAAATCGGAATGGAACTGCATGCCAACCCTGCCACTTGGGCGTTCGGTGGAGCACCCTATGGGGCCACGTCGCGTGTGAGGGTTGCGCCGAAATCGGAATGGAATTGCATGCGGACTTTGCCATTGGGGCCTTCCTTCGGTGGAGCACCCTATGGGGCCACGGATTGTGGGAGGGGTGCGCCGACATCGGAACGGAACTGCTTGCCAACCCTGCCACTGGGGCCTTCGGTGGAGCGACCTATGGGGCCACGTCACGTTTGAGGGGTGCGCCGAAATCGGGGGTGGAATTGAATGCAGACCCTGCCCACTGGGGCCTTCGGTGGAGCACCCTGTGAGGGGTGCGCCGCAATGGAGGTGGACCTGCATGCGCCCATATGAGGGCGATGAGGTCCTGCGGAGGGCAGAGGCACGGATGGGAAGAGGGAGGGGCGGGAGGAGGAGGCGGGAGGGAGTGACGCGGGGCGCTGTCTCTTCAAAACGAGGACCCAACACCACAGGATGGTTGGGAATGAAGAGCTTAAGTGACATCAACGTTTTCGGCCTCCCGAGGGCCTGGAGAGCGTCTTGGCGGCGTCTTGGGGCCTCTTGGAGCTTTCTTGGGACCGTTTGGGCGCTCTTGCGGCGCTCTTTGGTGCGTTTTGAGGCGGCATCGGTGGCCTGCTTGGGCCGCCCTGGCAGCCTCGGAGCGCACCAGGGATGCGTCGGGCCGCCCACGAGACCCCGGGGGAGGGGGCGGTGCAGCACTGTGTGTCGCGGGGGGGGGGCCAGAAGACAAGGGCGCCCTCGAGGGCGCGAAGTTATTCGCGCTTCGCGGTTCGGCTCGGATTGCTTCTCATCCTCATCTTCTCCCTTGGGAGGCGGCGCGCGAGCGCGAAGTTATTCGCGCTTCGCGCAGCGCCGAGCGCGAAGTTGGGAGCCCTAGAGAAGACACGGCGGCGGATGCGCGGCAGGCCTCTACAGGCTTGGCCTTGGCAATGCGCCGCGCGTCCCGCGGGCAGGCCAGGTGAGACAGCGGCGGCTCCTGCCTGGCCCAGGAGTCGGTATCGTTTAACCACTCCCCATCCCCATCCCCATCCCCTTCGAGACCCCCACCAGATGACCCCCCCAGTCGGGGATACACCCCTCGAGGCCCGAGGGGAACGGCCCATCTCCCCCTCTAGCTAGCGGGGTAAAGCGGCCAGGGGGGCCTAGGCTGCGCCGCTGGGGATGGGGATCGGATCAACGATACGCAACGAGATCAGCTCAAAACCAGTCCTTATGAGGAAAATCCTGGAGGCCTCGCGCGGCGCGTAATAGTAGTATGATCTAGTCCACTTGTCAGCTCCGTAAGCTATGGGTCGACGCTCGTGCGGCGATGCTCAGGAGTCAGTCCGACGTAAATCCTACGTAAATCCGACGTAGTCCGACGTGAACCCGACGTAAATCCGACGTAGATCCGACGTAAATCGGGTCTGAAGTTGACACGCGAGGCCTCGAGGATTTTCTTCAGAACAGTCCCCGGACCCCTCTGGAGGTCCCTCCGGACTTGTTCTCCGAGGCGGCTCCAGCCGCGGCGACGAGCAGCGCCGGGGAGGGCCGCCGTTGTACTCTATACTCAACGAGATCAGCTCAAAACCAGTCCCCAGACCCCTCCGGAGGTCCCTCCGGACTTGCTTTCCGAGGCGGCTCCAGCCGCGGCGACGAGCAGCGCCGGGGAGGGCCGCCGTTGTTCTCTATACTCACGAGAGTAGCTCAAAACCAGTCCCCGGACCTCTCCGGAGGTCCCTCCGGACTTGTCTGCCGAGGCGGATCCAGCAGCGGCGACGAGGTTAGCCGCCAGGAGGCCCCAAGAAAAGGGCGAGCAGCGCCGGGGAGGGCCGCCGTTGTCTCGACTGGCACTCCTCCCCCTCCTCCTCCTCCTCCCTCCTCCTCCTCCTCCTCCTCCTCCTCCCTCCTCCTCCTCCTCCTCCTCCTCCTCTCCTCCTCCTCTCCTCCTCCTCCTCCTCCCTCCTCCTCCTCCTCCTCCTCCCTCCTCCTCCTCCTCCTCCCTCCTCCTCCTCCTCCTCCTCCTCCTCCTCCCTCTCCTCCTCCTCCTCTCTCCTCCTCCTCCTCCTCCTCCTCCCTCCTCCTCCTCCTCCTCCTCCTCCTCCTCCTCCTCCTCCTCCTCTCCTCCTCCTCCTCCTCCTCCTCCTCCCCCTCCTCCTCCTCTCCTCTCTCCTCCTCCTCCTCCTCCTCCTCCTCCTCCTCCTCCTCCTCCTCGTCCTCTTCCTCCTCCTCCTCCTCCTCCTCCTCCTCCTAGGTGGCTCCCTGCGCGGCCATCCCCCCCCTTCGCCCCCCCATGGCGTTTTCTTCCACACGCGGTCCCTGGAAGCCCTGACCCTTTCCCTTGGGCCGATTCTTCCTCCAAAATCAGTATTTTTTTGACAGTCTAGGGGCCCGGCGAGGGCCTCCAGAGGCCGAAAGCGGCGGAGCCGATCCGAATCTCATCGTTCAAGGCGCTGGAGTTCTGGGTCCGACAGTGCTCCAGTACTCGGAACAACTCCGGCTGGTGTGCACCAATTCGAGACTTTCGCTCGTTGCCAGCCTGGAACACGTACCTATTCCTATGATCGGCATCACCGGATCTCGATGCCGACCTTACAAAGATGACCTCAGTTTCTGCGGGCGCATTTGGCAATTCAATAAAAGCTGCCACGATGCACCACTGGAATCCCGGACCCCATCTTTTTGCGTGATGTCTCCAGCCGGATCGATCTGTGAGTGTCTTGGGGCCCTTGGTATCGCTCGGACGTGTGCACTTTCGCTCGGCGGGGATTATAAAGGAGCATCCTGGATCATCCTGCGAAAAAAACCACGCGCGAAACCGAAAAAAACACACGGAATGGATGTCCGAGCGATGGCCAGGGCCCGACAGCTGGGCGACGCCGCCCGTTGCGAAGCAGTGGCGGCGCCCCGATCTCAGGGCAAGGGGTCCTGGGGTTTGGGCTTATGTCGGGCCTGTCCCCCTACAGGGGGATTTTCGGCGAAAAATGCAAAATGTTCACAAAATACTCCAGAAATAATCCAAACATAGTATGGGAATTATTTGTTTAGCATTTTTGTTTAACCTTTTTGGTGCATTTTTGGAGTATGTTTTATTTATCGTCGAAAGGACACGCCCGACAGAAGTCTGGGCCCCCAGGTCCCCGACGCCATGACTTCTGTTGTGGCGTCGACCCCCGGGGACCCGTTGCTCGTCCCGAGTTGTTTTGTTGCAGGCCCCGAGGCCTGGTATCGGGGGCGGCAAAGAGGGGGGTGATGACTGGGGGGGGGATCTCATGGCGGGGGCCATGATATTTCCCCAGATTTCATGGCGCCCCTTCCTATTTCATTACGTCCCTGGCCCCCCGCTGGGCCGCGCACATGCCGCCAGTCATGATTTGCACCCCCCCCTCTTGGACACCCCCCTCTTGGCCGCTCCCGATGGTAACACAGCCCCCAGACGTTGAAGATAGCGAAAAGCCTGCCGTCGCGATTGTTTCACGACTCAAGGGAGTCTTGGGGATAGGGTTAAGTCGTGCACGTCTCCCTACAGGAGGAATATTCAAAAATAGTAAAAAAATAGTCAGGGAACGATTTTTGTTAATTTTGTCGACAATGCTGGGGCATTTTTCAATATTTTTGATTTTTCGTCCAAAATCCGCCTGTAGGGGGACATGCCCGACCTAAGGATAGGGGCATGCTCGAGGCTGGTGAGCCGTCCCGCGCCAGGCGCCGCACGCGCGCCACACGCCGCGGGCGCCCGCGCGACCGCAGGCGCCCGCGGTTTATTAAGCCCTTCGCACCCCACTCGGGCCGGACGAAAGGGGGGGATGTTGGGAAAGGGGGGGGGGGGTACGAAATCTGCTGCACGCAGCTGGTTTCGGCCCCACCGAGGGGCCCATTCCTCGACACATGTCGGGGGTGGACAGACCTCCTACCCTGACACGTCGATTAGTGAATTGGCCGTTTTCGGTTCGCGAGGGGGCGTCGCGGCCGTCATTTTTGCGGGTCCAGGTCCGCCGGTCTCGGTCCCAGGCCGTTTTCACTAACGGGAGGTTTACTAGAGGGAGGTTTGTCCACCGCCGAACATGGCCGCCTCTGGCGCCGGGAGGCGCCAGGAAAATCAACTACGCGAGCTGACCCTCAAACCCCCCTTTTCTGCACGCACGAAATGGGTACAGAAAGAATGGGTACAATGCCCAACAGCGGATCTCGTTCATTTTGAACAGGGCTCGCTGTCCACGCCGCCGCGGCCTGTGTCCATTCGAGACAGGAGGCCGCCTGCCCAACAGCGGCCGCTGTTGGTTTGGGACAGCATTTGCTGTTGGGCACTGCACCCATTCTTTCGGTACCCATTTCGGGCGTCCAAACCTCTGCTCCCCCCTCTCGCCCGACCCGACCCACTCCCGCCTCGGCCGCCGGCTGCTGCCCACGGGCGCCCTCCGCTCGCTCGCCAGAACGGCCTTCGGCGCGGGACAACGTCGAAGAGCAAAAGGCCCCCTCCTCCTCCTCCTCCTCCTCCTCCTCCTCCTCCTCCTCCTCCTCTTCCTCCTCCTCCTCCTCCTCCTCCTCCTCCTCCTCCTCCTCCTCTTTCTCCTCTTCCTCTTCCTCCTCTTCTTTCCTCCGCCTCCTCCTCTTCCTCCTCCTCGGGGCGCAAGAGACGGGGGTCCATGCAAACGGGGGTCCGCCAGAGCGCCGGATCTTGCAGGATCCTGCAGAGCCAGGGTCGCATTGACCCGGGCTTGGGTGCAGGATCCTGCCGGATCCTGCAGGATCCTTCGCGTAGACCCAGGTTTGGGCGCAGGATCTTGCGGGATCTCGCAGGATTCTGCAAGGCCTGACTGACCCGGGTCTGGATTGACCCAGGTCAGAAGATCCCCGAGAATGGCCAAGGGGCGGGCATTGCACGAGCCCGTCGGTCGTTGAAAGTAAAGATTTTTTGTGGGTGCCCAAGTCCCGAGTCCCAATCTGCTTTGGGCGCCCTCCTACTGTACAGAGTCAAGCCGTCTTCCCCCCTCCCTCCTCTTCAGGTGACGGGCGGAAGCCTGGTCTACTTTCAACGCCCTCCTACCTCGCCATGTTCCTACCCACATCTTCCGACCGACGGGCGTTCGCCCGCGAGCCTCGCCGACGGCATGGACCATCGGCGCCCCTGGATTCTGGGCATCCTGGGTGGGGTCGGAGTAGATGGGGTCGGAGGATCGCGCGGCGTCGCCGATGCATCGCCGATGCGGCTCGATACGGGTCCGATGTTCTTCTCGCGGACATCGCCGATGCATCGCCGACGTCGTCGATGCATCGCCAGTGCATCGCCAGTGCATCGCCGATGCATCGGCGATGCATCGCCGATGTATCGCCGATGCGGCGCGATCCTCCGACCCCATCTATTCCGACCCCATCTAGGAGGCTTCTATGGATGCACGTACCCATCGGTCGGTGAGACGAGGTATTCTGGGATTCCCAGATTCCAATCCACCTTTAGCGCCCTCCTGCTTCAGTGACCGAGTGGCCTCACCTGTTCCGTCCGCCTTAGGGGCGGTTGGAACCCAATTGGCTTTCAACGTCTTCTTGCTTCATGTTTTTCGGCGTCACCCCAACATACTAATACTATGTGTGCGTCGCCCCCGCGGGGGCGACGCGCGCACCGAGAAATCTTACAGTATATGCGTCGTTGCGGGCGCTTCATGGCCACACCGCTCGGGAAACGATATACCACAATATGGGTATATTACGACTATATGCTCGGGTCGGACGTGCGCCTCCAAGGAGGATATATATATATATATATATATATATATATAAATATGGTCCAGGGCTTGGGCCCCCCCCTCCCCCCCCACAATGCTGATGCCATTGGGCCCCCCCCCCCCCGCGCGATGGTCCCCCCCGCCCCCCCCTGTGGGCGTGGCGTGGTGCTGCGCTGCGGTGCCCCCCCCCCCCCTGTGGATGTGGTGTGGTGCTGTGGTGGTTCAGAGGTGGGCGTGGCGTGGTGCTGCGCTGCGGTGCCCCCCTCCCCCCCCCTGTGGATGTGGTGTGGTGCTGTGGTGGTTCAGAGGTGGGCGTGGCGTGGTGCTGCGCTGCGGTGCCCCCCTCCCCCCCCCTGTGGATGTGGTGTGGTGCTGTGGTGGTTCAGAGGTGGGCGTGGCGTGGTGCTGCTCTGCGGTGCCCCCCTCCCCCCCCCTGTGGATGTGGTGTGGTGCTGTGGTGGTTCAGAGGTCGTCGTCGTCGGCATTGTCGTCCTCGTCGTCGTCCTCGTCGTCGTCGTCGTCGTCGTCGTCGTCGTCGCCGTCGTCATCGTCGTCATCGTCGTCGTCGCCGCCGCCGCCGGCGTCGTTGCCGCCGCAGCCGTCGTCGTCGTCGTGGTCGTCGTCGTCGTCGTCGTCGCCGTCGTCGTAGTCGTCGTCGTCGTCGTCGTCGTCGTCGTCGTCGTCGTCTCTGGGACCATACCATATGGGGGGGGGCGGGCCCGAGGAATCCTGGGACCATACCATCTGGGGGGGAGGGGGGGGGGGCCCGTGGGCCCGGAGCCCGGGACCATATATAGTTAGCATGTCTCTGTGCGTCCCATGTTTCGACCTACTTCTTCCGACCGATGGGTGTTGCTCTCCCCTGGGCCATTCGCCCCCATCGTCGCCCCCGATCGGGGGAGGAGGAGGAGGAGGAGGAGGACGAGGAGGAGGAGAAGAATGAGGAGGGAGGAGGAGGAGGAGGACCAGTGTAAACCCAAGAGTCATCAACGGTGTTGGAATTCATCCTCCCTTCGACCTCCCTCTTCACAGGCCCCTACAACGGTTCATTTTCATTGAGGGTACTGCCCCGTTGGAAGACAGCCGTCTGAAGATCCTGAAGCATGCCAAAACATTGTTCTCGGGAGTTCAACGCCACGATTGACTGCTGCGTCTGGACGACCCGGAATCGTGCCAGAACGCCATGTTCTGGATTCCAACACCGCGAATCAACATAATTTGGGCACCCGCATAATCCTGAACCCATCCAAAACACAATTGCTGGCACGTGGTTCATGGGAATATGTGGAACTGCTATGCATGCTTAACACGTGCGCTCGGCGCCAAGGCGAGAACCATATTTTGAAAAGGAACCGCCCTCAATCCGTGAAACTCTTGCAAACAGTAAAAAAGAATGCGCGCGGCGCTAAGGCGAGAGCCGCATTTTGAAAACAGCCCGCCCTCAGCCCGTGAAACTTCGGCAACTGTTGAAAACGATTGTGCGCATCGATAAGGCGAAAGCCACATTTTGAAAACCACCCGCCCTCAATCCGTGAACTGCTCGCAATATTAAAAAACCGAACGGGCGCGGTGCTAAGGCGAAAGCCACATTTTGGAAACCACCCGCCCTCAATCCGTGAAGTTGATGCAAATGTTTTAAACGAATGTGCGCGGTGCTGAGGCGAGAGCCACATTTTGAAAACCACCCGCCATCAATCCGCGAAACTCTTGCAAATGTTAAAAGCGAATGTGCGTGTCGCTAGGGCGAGAGCCACACGTTTAAAACCAGCCGCCCTCCAGGCGAGACGCCCGGCCCGCCTTACACACTGGCCTCGGGTTGCGCCAGGGAGAAACTATTCATAAGGAAACGGAATGCTGGAGGATGAAGAGGAGGAGTAGGAGAGGAGGAGGAGGAGGAGGAGGAGGAGGAGGGTGGTAGGAGGAGGAGTAGAGGAGGAGGAGGAGAGATAATAATAGGAGGCGAAGTAGGGGAGGCGGAGAAGGAGGAGGAGGAGGAGAAGAAAAAGAGGGGGAGGAGGAGCAGACGATGATGATGATGAGAGGAGGCGGGCAAGGAGAAGGAGGAGGGGGGAGGAGGAGGAGGTGGAGGAGGAGGTAATGGAGAGGAGGAGGGAAAGGGTGAGGAGGAGAGAGGAAGAGGCGAGAAGGAGAGGAGGAGGAGGAGGAGGAGGGGGAGGGGGGGGGAGGGAGGAGGGGAAAGGCGGAGGAGGAGGAAGGGGAGGATGAGGAGGAGGATAGGAGAGGAAGAGAGGTAGGAGGAGGGGCTATAGGAGATGCGGCGGTCGGATAAGGAGGAGGAGAAGGCGGAGTGCTGCTGCTGAGATGATTGAGGCGTCAGGGGTAGTGGGTCGTCGTGAGGAGGCGGCGGATGAGGAGGATTGGCGGATGATGAGGTGGCACTGATTTCACGCGGTGTAGGCGGAGGAGCATGCGCCGGAGGTATGAGGAGGAGGCGGAGATGCTGCTAGAGGATGCAGGGTCTGTGCGTAGGCCAGGGGAGGCGGAGGAGGAGGAGGGGAGGAGGAGGTGTGGGAGGGGGGGGGGGGGGGCGCCTCCGGGGAGGCCTCCGTGGGCCTCGCCTCGGGGAGGTGCGGGGGCGGACGCCCGATCGGGGAGGCAGGCAGGGAGGCGGAGGAGGAGCCAGAAGAGGGAGGCAGGCAGAGGAGCGGTTGTCGCGAACCTTGTACCTGTACCTTTTCCTATGCCTCCTCCTCCTCCTGCTCCTCCTCCTCTTCCTCCTCCACCTTCTCCCCATCATCATCATCATCATCATCATCATCATCCTCATCATCATCATCATCATCATCATCATTATCATCATCATCATCATCATCATCATCATCATCATCATCATCATCAGCAGCATCAGCATCATCATCAGCAGCAGCAGCATCAGCAGCATCAGCATCAGCACATCATCAGCATCAGCATCATCATCATCACCATCATCTCACATCGTCTAGACTACCTCCTCTCTCCTCCTCCTCCTCCTTCCCCGTCCGTTTTGTGCAATCATCATTATCAGCGTCATCATCATCATCATCATCATCATCATCATCCTCATTTCTCTTTTTCTCCCAATCCTCCTCCTTCCTTGTCCTCCATCTTCCGTCTTCTCCTCCTCCGCCTCCGCCTCATCCTTCCCCTCCCCTTCCCTCCTCCCTCCTCCTCCTCCTCCTTCTCATCCTCCTCCTCCTCCTCCTCCTCCTCCTCCTCCTCCTCCTCCCATCTCCTTCCTCCTCCTTCTCCGCCTCGTCATCTTCATCGTCATCAACAGCACCATCATCATCACCATCATCACCATCCTCCTCCTCCCTATCATGATGATGATGATGATGATCATCAGCATCATCATCAGCATCATCATCAGCATCATCATTATCATCATAATCATCATCACCATCATCAACATCAACCTCGTCTTTCCCCCTCCTCCTCCCCCTCCTCCTTCTCCTCTTCTTCTCCTGCCTCCTGTTCCTTCTCCTTACCCCTCTCCTTCTCCTCCACCTCCTCCTCCTCCTCCTCCTCTTCCTCCTCATCCTAATTCTTCTCCTCGTCCTCCTCCTCCTCCTCCTGCTCCTCCTCCTCCTCCTGCTCATCATCATCATCATCGTCGTCGTCGTCGTCGTCATCGTCATCGTCATCCTCCTTCTCATCCTCCTCCGTATCCTCCTTCTCCTCATCCTCCTCCTCTTCTTCCTCCTCCTCCTCCTCCTCATTCTTCTCCTCCATATC